CATGTCCGGGTAAATCCGGACGAATGGTAACCCTAGGTAAGGGAGCGCTGTGAGATGTTCCTTTGCTGCCTCTGCAACCTTCCCAGCCCCTGAAAATCCCGGAGCTTGGGACTTTATTCCTCTCTTCCCCTGGCTCACCCACACCAGCGCTGTCCATAGAGCACTGGGCTGAGCATGTCTCTGTTTTAATTCTGAAATGCCAATGCAGCAAGTGAGAATAATTGTTTGGGTTTGGGGAACAAAATAATTTACCCTGGGAAAAACAGGCACCTAGTTCAGGTGAGGTAGAATCCCTGACAGGGCCATGTACTTATTCCTATTTGTGCTGCAGGCTGTGAGCAGTGGGAGAACAGTGGCCCACCAAGCAAAGTATTTATGTCCTGACCAAACTTCTGTCCCGGTATCAAGTGTGGCAGTTGCACTGACAAAGTGAACATTTAGGAAGCAGCTGTGACACTGAATTGAACTGCATAGGCAAGTTTTTATATTGGTCTGTATCCCTGTGCGCGGGGTTTCAAAACCTTGCTGACAATAATAATCTCCAGCATCTTCAGCTTGTACGCTGCTGATTGTGAGAGTGAAATCGGTCCCAGACCCACTGCCGCTGAACCGGTCTGGGATCCCAGAGGCGCGGGTAGAAGCGTCATAGATGAGGAACTGAAGAGCTTGGCTGGGTTTCTGTTGGTACCAAGCTAAATAGCTACTGCCTAAAAAGACTTTTATGCTAGAACTGGCTTTGCAGTTGATGGTGACTCTGTCTCCTGGAGACACTGCCAGGGATTCTGGAGTCTGAGTCAGCACAATGTCCCCAGTGGAGCCTGAGTAGGCAAAAATAAACGTTAATAGAATATATATTAATATATTTCAATCAAACTAAAAGGTATTGTATGTTTAAAAATATTCCCCCGGGCATCTTTTCCACAGTTATGATTGTTCCTTTCCTGGCTGTGAGGCTGACATTTAGCTGCTGGTGGCTTTTCTGTTCTAATCTATTTTTCATTACTCATGTAGGGCCTGAGTGAAAGCCCATTGAATCCTCTGAAAGACTCACTTCATTTTAGTGGGCTTTGGATCAAGACTATGGTTTTCAAATAAGGTTTTTCTCTCTTAATTGCAGTCAAAATGTGAAAAAGGCACTCAGTAGTTAATGCCACTCTGAGGATTCTTTAGAGTTTAATATACAAATTTCATAAATCTCTTGAAGAGAAATGAAAGGATGATTTTACTTTATGTACAGCCAGTTCCCTCTTCTTTTGATCCTTACCGTGGACGCAGAGCACTAACAGCCAGATGAGTTGAGCCTGTGAGATCATCTTGATACGTCTGACTGGCCCAATGCCGATCAACAAACCGTAAAGCATGACGTGGAACATTTATAATGGCTCAGAGCAGCAGGGGAATATCACTGGGGTGTGAACTATGCAAATTTTGGTCAGAGATGAAAATTTACTTCTGATACCAAATTGCCTCAGAAAAGGGCTCCAGCCCCAGGCTCGCCCACGCTCACCTCCACTCTGGCAGCCCAGGCCCGCCAGATTGCGGCACTCAGATGGTGCCCCCCCAACCACAGCGCCCTGGGAGGTTGCTCACTTTGCCTACCCATAAGGCCAGCACTGCTCATAGCTTGAAGTGTATGATGGCCTGTGGGTGGTCAGAGGTCAAGGGAGTAGTCTTGCATCCATCTGGCAGACTGAAAAGTTCCCTGTTGTTTTGGGTCTTGAGGTGAAGGTCATGAGGCGATGTTGCGTCCAGATAGCATAGTAGGTGGCAAGAACAAGCTTAAAACATAGCAATGCCTGTCCTGTGACAGAGCCAACAGTCAGCCCCCTGGTTTTGAACTTCCATGTCGTCTGTGGGCAAAGTTCAATCACTTCAGATGTAGCATGATCAGATGTGCTGCAAATGGCTATCAGTGGGGCCGTCATGTCTTTGCTGCCGTGGCCAGTTTGTATGATGTATATCATACACTTACAGGCTGCTTACATAGACAAGGGTTGCTTGGTACCCTCATAGACTTGCACAATGCCCTTCCCTTAGCTGTTGAATGGTTAAGACATCTATTCTAACACACTTGACTTGAATGTCCATGTAAATACAATCACAATAAAAAAAGTATCACTATTGTACTGGAAATCTCCACCCAAACATAACATCAACACTGAGAACTCTTTGATAAGGAAACTGTCATTACTCTCTGGTTCCCTGCTCCTTTATATTCGCTCTCACCTCAGACACACTATTGTAATACCTATAAATGTAATGAGAGCCTTGATCCAGAATTTCATGAGCTGACCAACCAGATTCACAAACACAGAACCATAATGTTATGTGACGGTAGTACTTTGCCTTTAACTTTTCTTTGTGAATATCACATAGAATCAGTTCCCATTGTAAGTGTAAAGGCAGAAATGTTAACTTTTGAATGTTAATTGGGAACTGTTTAAAAACACTTTTCGGGAGGCCCAAAAGGCCACAACCGAGAGAAAAGGCTGTACTTAGGCGTGGCAGGATTGGATTTCTTTTTTGTAATTTTAGTGGATAATACTAATTTTTATTTTAAGCATTTTTTTATTTTATTGACTTTAATTTTCTTGAGTGCATGAAATTATGGGGGTTTTTAACTTTTTTTTAAATCAGTTTGAATATTCACAGTTGTGGGAAATGAAGGGAGTGTCAGACAATAATTTAATGAGGGTAAGTGTCAAGATTCAAAAAATTAAAGCTTTATTTGTAACAAGCCGAATTTGAAAGTCGAAGTCACAGAATTTTCCCCATAATAAAGTCTTCAGTTCCCACAGCTAGGGGTTTGAATGAAAAATAAAAATAAATCTCAGGCCTTTTGTTAGAGGTACTGGAATCTGAAATTATTTGCTAGAGCCAACAGACAATTCCAGATTTCAAAAGTTCTTCAAATTTGAGCAAGTCCTTGTTTTAGTGCATAACAATGAGCTTCTCAATTTGGTCTTGGGAGAGGCGCATGCAATGTTTGTCTTGTACTTTTCTGAACAGACTGATCTTTCCCCAGACTGTGAAGTTACTGGAATTGCAAGTGCAGGTAATGCCACACCGGACATAACAGGAAATGACTGGGATTCACATCTCCATATTCAAGGGCTATTATGCTGTCATCAGAGGGCACATCATGTTCCACGTACAAGTCAAAATCATCCTTGAAATCTTGTCTTGAAAGGGAAAATACAGACTATTTTTGTAGTTGCTAACATTGTGTGACACCTGAACTTTGACAAATGGATCAAACACTTTACAGTTAGCAGAAGAGAACTTGATCATAGAGTCCACTGGGTTCTTTGCAGGATACGGACGCCTTCAGTTTACTTTGAAATTTTGATGCATTAGCATGCATTGAAGATGAAAGGACTTGCTTTTTGGAGCCCTTTGACTTGAATTCTACTTCTTTTAAGGGATTAGCTATATCAGTAGCAACATGTGAATTGCAGCAACTGGGCATATCAATGTGATCTATCAAGGTGCCTCTGTTTCCATTTGCAAATGAACCCTATGGAGTTTTACCAAAAATAGAAAGAAACGTTAACTTGCAATACAATCCTCACTGGTTTCCATTGTCCTTGGCTATCGGGCATAGTTTCATTGCCTTCTTTGTGGTGACTGAATGCTCTTCTTTAATGAGGAAGTCTGTCATGTCCCAGTGCGCATGGAAGAATTTTGCTTCCTGGAGACAGGAAAAGCAGTGTGTTGGCACAACGTGAGGGGGGACATGCAAACCTGATGGACTCACATTGTTGCTTGTGCAGACTTGAAAAAATGCTAGACATTGTCTGTTTGCATGTTTAAATATCGCTGGAAAATGTACTACGCTTTTGTGGTATGTAGTTGTGGACAGGATTTGGGATATCAGAGTAATTTGGGTTATTTTTACACACAATGTTTTTCTTTCCTGGGGTTTCCCCCTCTGCCTCTGCTCAAAAAATATTAAAGGATTTATTCAAATTTAAAGCAGCGTATTTTGAAAGGTGGTGTATCTCAGATATTTCTGGATCAAATGAACAATGATCTCTAGAAAGGAATAAATATGTTAAAGAATAACTTTATATTGTCCCCAAATTGTTAATCACTCGCTGAAAGACCAGACGTGGGAACTGGGGCCACTGGAGGTGGAGAGTAGTCAATGGAAGGAAAAAACCCATGTCCATATAAACCAGTACCATGATTTAGTTTGATCATATTCTGGAGATTGCTGTGACATTGAAAAAGGCTGTAAGGCCCAGTTGATTTCCAGGTGTATAAATCACAGGGAAGTCAGTAGGAGAGGCAACCAAGTAATCCAGGGCAGGATTGGGCCTGCAATGTTTGGTGCTGTCATGGTGGTTGTATTTGGTTGCTGAAAGTCAGAGTTGGAGATGGCCTGGCCCTTTGAATAGCAAACGGGTCTGCTGAGCACCCATGTGATGCAGTTAGCAGGTTCCCACCAGAGCCTGTCAGTGTCCCTGTCCTCTCTGCAGGGTTCTGGAGCTGATGGTGCAGTTGGATGGGCCTCAATGGGAGGAGACCCCAGTAAAGCTGCCAGTATCTCCTATGTTCAGTACCAGCTTGAGTAAAAACAGATGAATCTTCAACCCCTCACCACTGTCCCCAGCCTAAAAATATGTCAAATGCCCTTCGACAAAGGAGGAAATATGTTGTTGGGCTTCTTCCTATATTGGCTCACTTGTGAACCTGACAACTGCCCAGTTTCTCCTACAAAAGCCCCATGTTGCTGTGACCTTCCCCCCATCTGAGGAAGGCTGGATGCAGCCAATAGCTCCTGTCTTTTATTCCCAGCTTCTCCACATGGTAATGCTGCCAATAAAGCTCTGGGAGGGCTGGCTCTGGTTTAATTCTGAGTTGCTCAGGCAGGTTTTACAAGACAGCAAGAAAAGAACTGTTTGGGGGAATCAGGGAATAAGATCGTTTGTGCAGGAAAATATGACCCCCAATTCAGCTACTCCAAAAAACCATTTCTCTATGGAAAGAAATGTCTTTAGCAGTAACCTTGCCTGGCTTGACACTATACGTCACTGTGCTAGTGTTGTGTCAGGCGTCACCAGGTGGTGCTGTGATACGTATTCTTTCAAGTTGTTTTTCTGAATGTGCTAGCGGCTATGTAGTTTTGGGAAGACATGCTGTGATGTTGTTGGTTTTGGTTATGCGAGGTTGTGAGGAAAGGGAGCGGTATGAGAAGCAGGAGAGTTTCTCTGCCTTGGTGTCTGATTATTTTTGAATTTTTGAAGCAGATTTGCAGTCTAGGAACGGGACATTCGTGCTGGGATAGATTCCTGAGAGAAGGGTTTCCCTGCAGGCTGCTTGTGATTGCCTCTCTCCCAGGTCTGGTGTATATGTGTGAATAAAAGAAGTTAT